GTGTACACTTGTAACACGCGACGTGAAAGTATAGACTTGGATAATATAATCGACTAAAAATAAAGCGTGCAGTGACGTCGGGAGTTGCAAGTATGATTGGACCCTTAATTTGTAAAGGGGGCGGTTCTATATACAAGGAAATTGAGTTTAAAAGTATTTTATTGCTTCTAGTACCTATACAACGATATTCGAATGCAAATTATAACCAAGTGTTGTTTTATCTACAGTTTTGATTAATTTTGGACTTATCTACTGTAATTACTTTATTTTGCTTTAATTTACAGGTTTATAACTGAACTGGAAGTACTGAAACAGCCATCATAGCGGTATCGTCACCAACCACAAGACAATCGGCGAAGCGTCACCGATTCATTCATTTCATTTCATTTTCATTAAGTAGTATTTGATAATGTTTTAGTGCCATATTAAGGTAATAAGTTGAAATATTTTAATTTTATTTTTTTGTAACTTTAAACAAATTCTTAAAAATAGTTATATAAGATTTAAAATAATTAAATTATTGTATTAATTAAATAATATTATTCTGTAAGTAGAGTAAGTACTTTTGCGGTGCCCAAAAGGGCCTATAGTTGGAATATATTTTGTCAAAAATTGTAAACCACCCTGTAAACACTATAGATGCATTAAATTGATTTGAATTTGAATTTAAATTTAAATTTTGACAACTTGTTTAAACAGCTTTTTAAATATAAAATAAAACAGCACAACTTCAATACCACAAGCGCACTTTAACACATGCGAAAAGTCATAATGTAGAACCGCTTTACGGCATATAATTATAAAATTACACGATCCACGATCTTACAACACGATTCTTGTGTAAAATCATTGTGTTTATAAACTAAAACGAACGTTTATCCCTATTAATGAACTTAAGTAGCATTTAGAACGGTAATCTGGTGTATTGATGTGATTTACACAAGGGTTTAATTATATATTTAGGTACCTACCCACTGGCTTTTGCCTACGACTTCGCTCGCGTGTTTTAAGCGGTTAGGTACAGATTAAAAAACAATTATTCACATTTTTTTTTAACCACAAATAGTCCATATAGTTACCAATTTTTAACATTCTATCCTGAAAATTATGAAATGGTCCATACAAACTCACACCCCCGATTTTAGGAAGGTGGAGGGTTTATAAAGATTATAAAGTACCTAGGTTATGTTACTCTCCAACCCTTCAGCTACCTCCACTGAAGAGAAATCACGATAATACTCATCGCTCAGTTTCGCCGTGAAAGACGGACCAACAAACAAACAAACACGCTTTCACATTTGTAATCTTAGTATAGATGTCTGTGTATATTACCTCGCAAGGGTTAATAAGGGCTAAATATGTTAATGTATTCTGTACTCACTACGGTATTAAGCGTTATTATCTAACTTTGTTGACGGATTAATTGTGTAGCAAGTTATCTAGATGTTTGTCGCTAAAATCAATGGTTTTAGCTCGGTAAAGGTTAAAGAAAAAATTACCTATATTCGTAGATGTGATGCAAGATGTGATCCAACCAGGTCACATACCGAAAACGCTAACTAAAGTAACATCCAACATACTGCCGAATGTCCTAAAGAAGGCGACAGATTGTAGTAATAAATAAAAAAAAAAAAACAAAAAAAAATTGTAACGAAATTTATAAATATCCTAGGGGTCGTACACAAATACATCACAAAAATGTGCGAGCTCCCTCTACGCATCGCAAGAACTTGCGAATTGATTCGCATCGCGCATCAAAATCTTATCTTCCCAAAATCTTCTGTTTCTTTTTCCTGTATCAAAGAAGAAGTGCACACTTCCTTTTACGATCCCTGTCACGACCTAGTTTTCAATTTAAAATACGTTTAGTACGGTTGACGGTCGTCGAAGGATTGGTCACCCTGGGAGACGCCTTGTCGCACGAAATCGCATCGCAGCAATTCGCATCGGATTTTTTTGAATTGCGAATTCGCATCTCATCGCATCGCAGTTTTGTGTACGAGATCTGAATGGGGCATATCGTTTTCATTTGTGTTGACTGTTATGAGTTTCATCTAATTTAATAGAGGGTAAGCCTATTGCCATATGTCAGGCACAACTACAGATTCCGTTCTAACTTTCTGTTATTGGAAAACCTTTGAAAAATCTATAATAATACTTTTACAGACTCAAGAATCGAACCCGTCTCGAGACTCCTTGCTTAGCAGTACGAGACAAGACAGTCGCTTATCAATCTCATAACATAACATCAGGCCTTTTATCCCCGAAGGGGTAGGCAGAGGTGCACATTATGTCACTGTATCTACAATGTAACACCCACCTTTCACTATTTATGTTATGACTCCCATGTAACAGGGTACCATGTACCCGGTATATGGCAATAGTGAGCCTTTTGCCATATACCGGGTACAATTCCAGACTCCGTGCTACTACTGACAATTTTTAAAAACCCAGTAACAGGTACTTTGCCCGACTCGGGAATCGAACCCGAGACCCCTTGCCCGGCAGTTGCACTTGCGACCACTCGGCCAACGAGGCAGCTTATCAAAATCATATAAAAAAAATTAAGCTTGTGTAATTATTATCTACTTACCTACACTACATTAACCACAGACACATTTAATTATAATTAAAAATTATCGGCAAATCCATTAATAAATTCAATAAATTAACTCCGTATTACATCAAATACATACTCAGAAACTTGAGAACCATTCAAGCGAATGAATTGTATCTCAAACATTAATCTTGAATATGATCGAGTAGATCTTACTTCTGATTAATTTTATACCTAAACCATTACCCTTCTAATTCAAATGAAAGTAATTTATTAATGATATTAATTGAATTAGATTTGCGTGGTTTAGATTTTAATGTTGTAATGTAATTAGTAATTAGAGTTGCTGTTCCGTGATTCGTAGCGTAGGTGTGTGTATGAAACACTCGGTTATTATTAGGTAATACCTTACCTTAATCTTAACCCTTACCTTACCCTTATGTTATTTTTGTTTCATAACTTGATTACCTACGTGACATTGGAACTATGGGTGCACCGTTGATGTTTTTCAAACGTCTCGATGCCCAAATACTGAACTAACTGGCTACTCAATTCTAAGTAAGATGTACTTAATTGTGCTATCTCTGTCATTTTACAAAGAATTTGCAATGACAGAACTATATTCTCTCATTCTCAGAACTTCTTTCGAAGAAAGAAGTTAGAAGACGAAGCGAAAGAGACTACAGATATAAGTAGTTTTTATTCTCATAACTATACCTATAGTCTCTTCCTCATCTGTTTTGATATGACGGTCGAACCTGCAAATATATTTCACTACTTTCCGAAAAAATGCCTTAGGATATGATATTAGAATTTCTTCCTGTCACGACTACATTTACCAACCAGTTCACATGTATATCACACATTGTGATAATTGAAGCTATTGATATAGAACAAATTGGTAGATTACAAACAGAATTGTTTTAAGCGAAAAGCGAACAACACGAACACGTCGTGTCGTAGCCGATCCAACAGTCAACCGACGTCGCGGAGAACCTAACGGGTAACCGGGGCTCCGACTCGACGTGCCGGAAAAGGAACGGGGTGGTTTTTAGTCAGTAAGAGTCTGACACTCCCTCCTGCCTCACCCAGGCGGGAGCAGTCATTCGATGATTTTCCCCCCTTAAAAAAAACAGTCAACCGACCGTTAACCGTTTTTTTTAAGGGGGAAAATCATCTAATGATGTCAATCACAGTAAACTCGCATTGTCGCCATAAAGACATTTTTTCTCATGGTGTCCAAAAGGTGTCCAAATTAGAAGACTTGAATTCCAGGTATGGGGGAAAATCATCGAATGACTGCTGCCGCCTTGGTGAGGCGGGAGGGAGTGTCAGACTCTTACTGACTAAAAACCACCCCGTTCCTTCTCCTGCACGTCGAGCCGGAGCCCCGGTTACCCGTTAGGTCTCCGCGACAACCGTTGACCGTTGTGCAAACCGTAAAGTTCACCACTCGATGAAAGACCCAATCAGGGATAAATAAACAACTCCAACAAGACTAGGGATCAAAAATAAAACTCCAAAAGATTATTTAAATGTATGTAAGTGTATTAGCAACATTGGTACATGAAATTACTGAATAATACTGTCGTGGAATATTGCTGTGCCGCCATATTGCAACACCCACATAATTAACAATTAGTGTTTATTTTAAATACAATAAGTAAAAAAAGACATTGTTCTTTATCACCGATAACCGTGCGCGCACCTAAAATGCAAAACTTACGATAATTTCATTACATTTTTTTCGTTTATTAATGCCTCTATCACACCTATAAATTCAATAACTGGTTTTTAATTAGGACTCTACTGATAAATATAAAATGTGAGCATTCATACAGATAGGAGACTTCACTTATATATCGATAGCCAAAGTCTGGTTGCCCGTAGACAACTAGGAATGTGCTGTTCATGAATTAGAAAAATCTTCGTAAACAGTCCACTTAGTCTGTAACAACCAGACGCTGTTTGACTTGAAAATGAATTTAAATTCACTTCGTAACATTAATTCGTCGGTCGATCCAATTTTACATTTCGACAGAATTAATAAATTAACAGTTGAAATAAAATTTACTATTAATCATTTTGCTAAATGATCTAATACCCAGTTTCTGTCACTCGGTAAAAATATTCTAATTCAACTAGAAAAATTGTGTTTTAACTAGAAATAACAAAATAAAGATGGAAGCCACCACAGAGACTATCCTCTAACATCTGTATATCCTGTTGTAAATGCTTACAAAATGTTTTTAATTCCATTACAAAGTCTCGTACAGTGGTACACAAATCCATACTCTACGCACTTAGCAATAAAGTTCATTTTAATTAACAGAGCCTACGCGTAACAATATGATGACTACCCATTCTGACTCCATAGGCCATAACATTCGAATAACTAGTAACTTCTGAAAAAAAATAAAGGAAATAAAAATAAAAACAAAAATAAATAAAAAAAATCATTCGTTTAATTCTCTTTGATAATATAATTTGTTTAATGATAAGGTATCTTTATGTAAGAGAATAATGTTCTATTAAACTACATACAACGTGACATAAGACAAACTATCATTATATTTAACTACTAAACTGTCGCAACGACAAACGCAGACGATCTCGTTAAATATTATTTTTCTCAATATAAAATTTTTAAATAAAATATAAATAAATCGAGTATTACTGTTCCAACAACTATAACCTATGGTTGACCATAGATGTTAATATATTTTACCTGTGGTTAAACACTAAGGTCTGTGGTGCACTGGCTTGTGACGTCACAAACGCATCAATTGTTTAGAACATGTAAAGTGACGTCATTGGGCTGCACTGATGCCCGTGTGACGTCACAACGCCAGTAAACAACAGCGCTAAGACGCCTGACATCATGGTGAAACTATACGTCTTAAAAATAAAATTTGGAAACTTCTAGAGATCTTTTACTGTAAAAATGGAAGTACAATAACGAAAGACAGCCCCATAAAATAAAATCCATACAACTATACAAAGCCTAGACAAGGATGATTTCCTATAAAATTTAATATAGACATTAATTTATAGATATATAATATAAACAATATATCTAGTAATGCCTACAATTTACTAATATTTCCCATCTAAAGACACGATAAATAAATGTATAAAATGATGCGTAAACAATATTTCTTACATCTACACGTAGAACACAAACGAAGTAAGCTTTTTATGCGAGAAATTATAACAAAATGTTCGCTTCATAGAAGCGACGACGCCGTGGCAAGCTTATTGTAATGAAAAACATTCTTGTACATTTGCTTACATTTTTATAATAAAAAATATTATACAAAAACTTACATACGTGGGTACTTAAATCAATATAATGCACTGGATGAGGTCAGTTTTGTACCAGGTTACTCAGTCAACGTATATCCCGCCGCGGACGTATCAAAATGCATTATTGTGCATAAATTATATTCCAAAAAAAAATCATTAACTTTCTCACAAAACCCTTATTTAAATATCTTTACCTACTACGACCTTACTACGTAATAATATAATATAAAATAAATAATTACACTAACGAATTAAAATCATAAACGGAGGGAAATGAATCGAAACGTAATATTTTAAAGCTGCTATCGTTCACAATTTACGCGGTTAATTGATACGGCATTGCCGTTATTAATCGTATAGCTATAGAGTCTATAATCGTATAAATTACTTTGTAGTCACTTGCGGGGTAGGACATAAATAGCTCCCTTTGAAGGATGCAACGAAACTATAAAATATCTACAAATCAATGTTAAACTTCGTCATCCAACTGTCATGTGATTTTGTCACAGTAATGTAGACCTTGAGAGGTCTTTAATTGGGTACAATCTTCTCTAAAACGCCTTTGTCATGTCATTAAGACCTTTAGGACCATTTCACGCGCTCCGGCATCCGTGCAGTCTCCGTTAACTTTCACACGTATACGTACTTTTACGACCGGGTACGCAAAACACGGCAACCGGAACGTATGAAATACCTTCTCATAAGTATCGAATAGGACACCCCACGAAATAAAATAAATATAAAAACAATAATAACGTCCCACGATTATGCATCTTAACGCTAATTACAAGACGGATATTACTTATTTTAAAGGACAATTGATGCCTATTTTACATTACCGTAAAGGGTTTGGAATGGTTACAAAATATTACAAAATGTTCTATAAATTACCTTTAAATACTATAACTGCAGTACTCAGAAGACGTTTAATGATTACTTAAACTACTCTTTAGTAACGGTTTTGTTCCAAAAACAATTAATAAAGACTCGGTTAAGTAACCATTGAATGACACGAGTGCCAACCACGAATAACTATCGTGTTCGTTCGGCGCTCTGATTGGCCGGCTCCAGTGAAGCAGCCAATCAGTGCGCGCTATGTGCTCGTTACTATTCAGCAACGAATGCGATAGTTATTCGTACTTGGCACTCTGAGTACGGCGGTAAGACCTTATTCGAAATCTTTAATTATAAAAATTGCTGATTCCGATTCTAAGATCGCAGTGTCTAAACTAATTCATTTATAAATAATAATAATTACGTTCAAATTTTCGAAATATTTGAAATGTATTTTTTATCAATGTATGTAAAATGTTTAGTTGACGTTCTTTAATATAAATGGTTACATTAGGATAGTATAACGATTCGTTTTGTTAGTCAATTTTGTTTAGAATATATTTATTGCTTATAGTCACTGTTGATTTTGGTTGTTTTAAAACAAAAACAGTAAATATGAGTACTTTAAACCAATTCTATAGGTCTCTGGTAAATTAGAGGTAGATAGAGAATGAACCATGCCAGCAACCTACTCGAAACTGTTTAAGATTTTCAAGTTTATTACAATAACATAAGGTTGAAAATCTGTCCATCCTTTTCCATTCATTTAGACCATGACTGTTAAAAACCAAACAATAATGCTATTTTTTCTTCAACTAAATATTATAAGGTCATTAATAATTATTATATAGTAGATAATGAACTACTTGAAGATTGTCCAACAAAACGAATCCAATATAGTAAATGACGGTGAGCCTCAACATTTTAAATAGAAATTACACAACACACCTACACGAAACTTGCTTTAAGTTATATTTAATTCATTTATATAAATACAGAAATGGCACGACTATTTACATAGGGAATTGACATGATACTTTTACAAATCAAAATGGCAAATAGTATATTTTTGTATAAAACGTAGTTAGTTAGTTACATCCGAATGCGATGAGTTAGATTAGGCCTCAGGGCTAATTTTTAACATGTACAGTCAATCACAATATTGATTGAAATCAATGAAAAAAGCCGTCATCTATGACCGTTGTCGGTTCATTTATAGGCTATGGGCCTCATATAAATAAGAGGGTTTGCAATAATTAAGAAAATGTTGCTTCATGAAAAACAAGATCTATTTTCTAATTTATTGTTTGTTATATTTGTAAATTAAATGCATTATGGAAAGTTGTAACGTAATAAAAATGCAGTTTTGTAGTCTCATATATCCCCAAGCGGTCACTGGTGACCGATCTACACTAACTACATTATAGACCTTATTTCCAATGATTTGAGACTACTTTTGTATGAAAAAATTTAGGGGATGATTTTCAACTATTTTCAACAAGTTAAAATACCATTTATCAAAAAAAATAAATTTGGTCAGAGAGAATACAAAAAAAAACATTTTGAAAGAAATCAACATTGTCGATGACTGTACATAACGAACGTTGAAACAGCGTATACCACATTCAACGCGAAATCTACAATTTAATGATTAATTTAACATAAACACTTGTGCATGTTACCTCGCGTACAATAATAAATAACTTCAGTACTTCAATTGACTTCGTGAGAAATCCAAAAACCAAAAAAAAAACAATTTTAAATACTTTTCTGTCACAACAACGATAATACTGTCCATAAGTTACACCTTAAATACAAAAATTACACAACCTAAATAGTTGCCAGCGTTAAAAAATAGACTACCGAAGTATTGCCATATGAAAATTCTCACGAAGCCAAATAAATATCCCTAAGCACAGTTTGACAGACAAGATATACAAATTAATCATGTATGTTAATATTATTATATGCTGCGTTCACACCCGTTTTGAGTACAAGTCGTACATTTTTCGAGATATTCTCTAAATATCCATTCGTCGGTGACGTGTGAAGGCAGCATAGAACATGATTTTCGATTTCTTTGATCATGCTTACGGGATTCAACTTGGCGATTATGAAGTAAAGAAACACCGATTTAAGTGCCATCCTTTTGTCACAAATCTTAAGTAAAACATTAAGATAAGTCTGTCCAAAATAAGAAAAGATAGGAATAAAATACGTCTAAAATTTTTGACTTTTTGAAAAGAAATCACAAAGATTGGTATGGTACCTAAATCGGTGTTTTCTTACTGTCACTCGTCAAGGTCACGTGCGCACGCGACGGCGCGCTAACGACTGCTAGGCGGCATGGGCATTTGAGCTTGTACGCCTTGCAAGTTCATCGGTCGGCCGTTGGGATTGCCCATGCCTAACCCATCATGGTAGTTGTTCACTTCCATCGCTGGTATGTCATCGTTCTGCGAAAGAAAGTTTAATGTGAAATCAGCTGTAGATTTTGGGGGGAAAATTGCTTTGGAAGTATCTCTGTTGAGCCTTTGAGCCAGATAAGGCTAGTATGGTAGTAAATACTGTCACATTTTATTAACATTCAATTTCCATAATATGTGCAGAACATCAATAATATCGACACGTCATGCCAATCATGAAATAAAACCTCCTATTAAGAAAATATTATACTTATTAAAATAAAAGCATTGTAGTATCTTTATGTTTCAAAGCAGTTTTACATCGATATGCACATATAAAACATAAATAAGGCATTTACAAAGACATAACATAGCCGTATTCGAGTGCATAGCGTTTCGATTTTGATTGCAGACACCAAGCTGTGATAAAATGAACAGTGCAATGTAAAAGTGTTGCATAAAAATATTAATTAGATTATTACAATAATCTAATTGTATACTTACACTTGCTGTTATAAAGCCTTATTATTATAGCCATAAAATACTTGAATTTCCTATTCAAAATCTAAAAATCGGTAATAAATTGAAAATAGTGTATCCCTTATCCTTAATTCAGGCCATGAAATTGAACAAGTATTAAAAATATTAATAAACAAAATTTGCTCGTTTTCTATGTATGTATGAGATTTACAAGTCGTATGAAAAGTTTTCTTATAATCGATACTATCGACTAAATAGTCAACAGTTTTTTTTATAAAACCACGACGGTGGTAAAAAAGTTCACGGCCCACCTGATGGTAAGCGGTTATCGTATTACAAGTATTTTACAGCTACAGTAACTAAATTAAATGAAAAGAGTGCATAGCAGAGCTGCGGTGCATTACCTCCCGATGCCTGCGAATGGTCCTGTCCTCGTAGCGCGTGCCGCCGGTGGAGGCCATGGGTCGGCTGAGCGTGCTGTTGGCGTTGCTGGGCGAGTGCGGCGCGCCCGCGCCGGACGACGGCGTGCCCTGACCTACAGCCCACACCGTAAGCGACTTTTGCCGGCGGATCTCAACGCTAACTTTGCTTTTTTGGTATGTTTTTAATGTGAATTTTAATCGTATTATGGTTCTCTATATGCTTGACGTTGTACGCTTAGTATTGTAATATAAAAAGGCCTTCTAAACTCAATTGAAAGAATCTGCTGAATTTCGTTTCTTGAATTTGAGTATAGATCTATATACGTAGTGTATACTACCAATATAGCATTTTACTTAAAAAGAGTCCTGATGACGAAATTAGAGGAGTTGAATAGATAAAAATAATTTAATATTGAGATCACCAATATTTGTAAAAATTTAAAGAAATTTAGAACTTCGGACAGTTTATTACATTCGATATTGAACTATTTAATGGTCCATATAATAGTTATTTTAAGATTACATTGTGCGAGTGAATTATGAGAGATTGTTAATCACTGTGAATAATTCAATGTCCTAGTATTAATTTGGATAAATTTTCTGATCGCGTCGCGAAATAATATATAAGAGTTACAAGTTACTGAAGCGTTACAACATGGAGTACGATATGACTTACATATAGTGGACTATTAGTTCGTTATTAGTCGTGATTTTATTTTATTATAGTCAAACTATGGTACTTTCTCTAAATACGTCAATTATTTAGTTTCTTATTTTTGATATTATTAACATAAAGACTAAATATTTGACTAGAACACCTGTTGAGAACAACTATACCGCCTTATAAAAACTATTTTATATGTTAAATAAATAAATAGACACTGAACTTAAAAAAATTAAATAGGTTGTAAAAATATACAATAAATAATTATACTTTTACTTGGCAATGAAGAAATTAATTTTACTTTAAGTAAAACTATATGTATAATGCCGGAATACTGAAATGTTACTCAATTTTAAGTCGTGCTTAAATATCGTGCCATCTCTGTCATTTTACAAAGAATTTGTAGCGACAGAACTATACTTAAGCACGACTTAATATTGAGTAGCGTTTGAGTATTCTGACATAAGGCCTGTATATTGTTCTAATAGTTAGCTTTAATTATAGAGAAAGTTCCATAGTATGTCTATATAATTGTTAGCGTGAGATTCACATAGCATTGTGAGACAATGATACACAGTACATAACGACTGTACACATTTACATGATCTTACACAGAATTTACACAATTTATGTATTTACAAATCGTAATTAAGTAATTGAGAATGCAACTCACGTTATTTAAAAATTGCAAGTGAATATTTCTTCGTGATGTTTTTTCGCTTTCATTGTAGAGAAATTAAGATAGAAAGGATTATAATTCTCAGAAAGATCATTTATACTTTTCTTTGTAATTTATTTATAGGTTCTTGCAAATGAAATTGTAAGTAGAATGTGTCCTTCCTTGCCAGACTGTTCACTGAAGCAACTCGACTTAAGTAAAATTGACAGACATTGCTTGGCATTTATTTTCTTTGATTTTAGTAAGAAACAGTTTTACTGAGTTGCTATACAAGACTAATGACAATGACACATATAACATCACGCCTTTTATCCCCAAAGGGGTAGGCAGAGATGCACATAACGGCACTTAATGCCACTGCAATGTAACACTCACGTAATAGAGAGTGATTTTGGCATATACCGGGCACATTTCCAGACTCCGTGCTACTACTGAGAATAAAAAAAAAAATAAAGTAATACTTTGCCCGACCCGGGAATCGAACCCGACACCCCTTGCCCGGCAGCCGCACTTGCGAGTACTCGGCCAATGGGTCACAGGCAGTCACAATGTAGTTACATAATATAATAGTGTACTGTACATACCGCTGGCAGTGGAGGGCGCGCGAGGCTGCGCGGCCCGCGCGGGCGTGAGGAAGTCGGCCTCGCGCCAGCCGTGCTTGCGGTACACCTCGCGGAGCTCCGCGTGCGACCACATCGTCATCAGGACTTGGCCTGGAGGGACACAATAAGTATTAAGTTCTTTCATCAACATTCTCGTCACCTTTAGGTTGTCCAATCGCCCAGAGATTTGAAAGGTAATATCGGTAAAGCCTCCCTGGTCGTTTTTATTTACAATTCTGAAAAACTACTCAATTCTATGTTGTTATTAAATATCGAGCCATATCTGTAGTTTCACAAAGAATTTGTAATGACAGATTTAAGAACGACTTAAAATTCGACTTAACGTTTGAGTATTTGGACATTAAAATGGCGTTGCTGTCCTTGAATGGTGAAGGGGATACTCTGTGGTTTTATTAACAGTTAAACAATATGCATATGAAACCAAACTTTTATATGGAGAGTCCACATTTTTGCATTCCACAGAAGGCAATAATGCATTTTGAGAAGTTATCATATCAATAAGTTGCACGCATACCTGCAAACTTGAGCACCCTGGGCGTATGTCGGTGGCGCTGCTTGGTGAGGTTGAGCAGTCGTTCGACCCCGCCGGCCTCCAGCAGGGAGCGGGAGAACTCTCCACTCTTCTTGATGACCTCGTTCAAGGTCGCCAGCACCGCGGCTATCGTGTCGTCTGATGTGCCCTGGAGAGGTACATTGAACAGTAAGTTTAGGTGCTTCGCGTGGAGGTAATTCAACTAAGCAATATACTCGTTAGGACTATTTTTTTGTTTAAGGTGGGAAAATCATCGAATGACTGCTCCCGCCTGGGTGAGGCGGGAGGGAGTGTCAGACTCTTACTGACTAAAAACCACCCCGTTCCTTCTGCACGTTGAGCCGGAGCCTCGGTTACCCGTTAGGTTCTCCGCGACTTCGATCGTTAGGACTATTACATGTTGTTATATGTTAGAGTCTAACAAACATCTAACAGTTAATAGGTCTAACAGTTAGACGTTTTAGAGAAGAATGGGATAGTTGACAAAACCTAGCGTTATTGGTATAAATTATCATAACCTTACATTCATCTCATTTACCCACGCTTGATAGATCGCGGTTTAAAAGGTTTAGGTTATTAGAGTCCCTGTTAAATGTGTAGTTCCTTAGTCGGCTCTGACGATACGAATAAGATTTTTAACAAACATTCTATTTTACCGTCGTCACACTTTACAGCATATTCATAGCATAGTTTAGAGTAAAACAAGATTCCTTCTCAAGTAAATATTACTTTACCTGATCATGCTGATGGTTCCCACTAGGCAGCTTCTGCACTAGGTCCCTCATAGCATACTTCCCGATCAGCTCCTTATTCCTCTGATCTATGGCCAGATTCCGTAGAGCCGTGGCCACAGCACAGACGACACGGTCGACCTCCATGCGCAACAGCTCAACTAATATTGGTAGACCTGGAAATTCTGGTCATTTAGCGTTGTTCACTGTCATTCACTGAGTATGGGGTTTTCTGTCACAACTACTGGAGAAAGAAATGAAAGGCCCTCTACCTCGCATGCATTAATAGCGAGAAATAAGACTTAATATAAAAATTGTAGACGTCGTTTGATTAATTTCTTTTTTTTAATGATATTTACAACAACAAATCCATAGAGCAAGGTAAATAAAGCTTGTCCAATAATATAAAATAACCCCATAAAAGCATCTTGTGTGAATTGATTAACAAATCAATAAAATAAATAAAAATATGTTTATTGACAAAAAGCTTCATGTTACATATTTATATGGCTCTGAACCCCACACTAGGATTCTCTGTGTCGTGAGGCCGAGTCTCTTTCAGTCAGCAAAAGAAAAACAAAATGAAAAGAAAAATAAAAAAAAGTATTAAATGAAAATAATAAATTTACAGTTCTCTTTATAAATAATACTAGTTATGAAAGTATATGAATTTATGTGTGATTTTTGTGTCTGTGTGTGTGTATCAGCAAGTTATATCAATGCTATAAAACAGTGTAGAAATAGGGATGATGATTGGGTATGAAAATTAAAAATATAATTAGTCCGTACGTTAGGTAATTAAAAAATATTAGACACGTATTTTTTTATTTTGTCGTATAATAAAATAAAACTTAGATAAAACGCATCAAAGTTTAGGAGTGGGGACTAAAACGTCATTTCTTAGTATAAAATGTACTGAGAAGTGACGTCACGTGACATTTCAAATCAATATACATATCTTCGAAACTATTCGTTTCCATAAGAAAATAAAGCATACGTGTCTAATTTTTTAAAATAATCTACCAGACGGACATTAAAATAAAAATTAGTCGTCTAACCTATTGATTAGCATGTCCTCAGAGGTATATAATACAAGGTCACATCATCTTCATTACTTATATTCCGAATCTCATATAGTTTATGTATGGTAGTGAAATATGGGTGTGGCAGAAGAAGCATGAAAACAGGATTAATGCGGTGGAAATGAGAGCCGTGAGAAGTATGTCTGGACTAAAATTGAGTGATCGAGTGAAAAATAGCGTTATTAGAGAAAGTATGGATTGAAAGATAGAAAACGGAATGTTACACTGGTTTGGACATGAAGAAAGGATGGATAAAAGTAGAGTAACGAAATAAGGATACAGAGCGGATATGGATGGGGCCGTCGGTAGAGGGCGCCTTAGACGGACATATAGTGACCAGATTGGCGATATATTAAACAAGGGCCCAATTAAAAGTACCCTTAACCGACGAGCATGCATGAAAAGATTGATGACTGTTGATGAAGCGAAAGAGGTATGTAGGAATCGTAGTAATTGGCGTTCCCTAGTCTCTGCCTACCCCTATGGGAGACAGGCGTGAAGTTATGTATGTATGTATTTCTTTTAATAATCAAAATCGCAACAATGCTTTGAACCCAAGATTCCTTCGTACTTACAATCAACTTACTAACAATATAGTCTAATATAATACAATACAGTAAAGCGAATGTAACATTCATAATAAATACCTTTTTCTTTCCTGACAGCGGCCCGTATATCGATGGAGGGCTGCCAGTAGCAGGCGGCCAGGTTCTGTAAGGCTCCGGCCGCCGCCTCCAGGGTCTCCGGGTTGGAACATGTTTGTAGCAACGCCATGTATAAGGGGACCACCTGCGGTAGACGTATGTCTTAGTAATTTGTTGTTCATTTAGTCAATTTTTGTTTTTTTAAGGGTCATAAGCCAGTAAACGAGGTGATGGATCACCTGGTGGTAAACAATCGGCGTCGCCCGTCAGACAGCAGTCCGAAAGACCTCGGTTCACAGTCCTCAAGAACAAAAACATCAAGTAATACCTACCAAAGTAACCAACAATGTGTCAGTCAAGCAAGCCTATTATGCAAATATCAGTTAATGCTCAACTGTAAACTATAATTGACAGTTGACAGTTTCTAGTATGGAAGAATTGTCAAATATTTTAACTTATTCTTCTAATAAAATTTTACTGGCATTGGAAAAATTGGCCCTCAACCCGTATATCCCCAAGCAGTCACCAGTGACCGCTCTACACTAACTACATTATAGACCTTATTTCCAATGTTTAGAGACTACTTTTGTATAAACAAATTTAGGGGATGATTTTCAATGGGTTAATCTGATTTCATAACGGGCTCTTAACAAAAGAAACTTGGTTTCAATATTTTACCTCAGGCGACCACAACATCTCCGTCCCCTTAGGTACCGAGTACCCAAGTTGTGTAGTCCCAGTGTCCCCTAGTGGCTGACTGTCTGGTTCGCTCTTGCCTAAGGGACTTGTAGAATTAGAGGATGATGACCCTTCCTTCTTCTTTTTACTGCCTCCAAAACAGCCTAAGTTTTCGCCTAGAATGAAAAAAAAAGAGATTTTGGTTAACTTTAGCTCAAATCTATACTATATTATAAAGCTGAAGAGTTTGTTTTTTGTTTGCTTATTTAAACGCGCTAATCTCCGAAACTACAAGTCCGATTTGAAAAATGCTTTTTGTGTTGGATAGCCCATTTATCGAGGAAGGCTATAGGCTATAAAATATCACGCTACGATTAATAGGCGCCGTGCAGAGCGATTGAAACCGCGCGGAATGGAAGATATTTGCCATGTATGTTGTGTATCGATCATAAAATAGATTATTGTCTTGTTTCACAAGAATTTTGACAAAATGGCTGAACTCGGTTCCTAAGTAGTGAATTTCTTTAGTCAATTTTAAACCTTATGGTTTTTTCAATAAAGACTATTGATGATTTGAAGTGGGTATTAGATTCTCCCTCTTTATATTAGGTATTTCCAACGTACCTTTAGACGCACTGGCCTGTATCCTGGCCTGCCCGGATGACTGTGTGGGCGGCGCTCTCGTGTCGTACAAGGGGTCTTCGATTTCTTGACATCTGAAAATATATAAATCTTATGAGTATTACAATTCCAAAGTTTTTGTTCCTCGTGAAGTTGAAAATCTAATTTTTTACTTATAGTTTGTAGATGATAGAAAAACAATGTCATTTCTATTTATTGCTGCATAATTTAACGTTAATCACAGCTAACGGAGAGAACACAATACTGCATTGCATCTACGTAATCCAACAATAAACGACAGAGAGCCTATCTAAATACCTCGTTTAAAATTCCCAATTCATAAATTTTTGCGGAAGGTAAGTACATTAACATAACTTAACATCACGTCTTTTATCCCCGAAAGGATGGGAGATCACTATTTATCTATATCTCACTATAATCACTATGTTTTGTAAACCCAGTTACACTTTGCCCTACCCAGGAATCAAACTCGAGACCACTGGCCCCGCCGTCGGACATGCGACCTCTCGGCCAACGAGGCAGTAAGTACATCAACATTCGATGTTAAGCAGAAAATAGTAGAAATCCAACATACCGGTAAGACAAATTCCTGAGTACACAGACGCAGTTCTCGACGATCTTGGTGCCGATGGCATTGGCCTGCAGCGCGGCGCGCACGGCGTGCAGCAGCGCCTCGGCCAGGCCGGCCAGCCCGCGCAGGCGGCGCCGCGCGTACTCGCCCGCAGACGACGCGTTACGGAGCACGCCCGACGCGTTGCGGAACACTGGACATTCAAATAAGATCAATTACACTAACAACTGGGAACTATATTTCGTTTTTATTCTGCTGAATGAAAGAAAACTGCATTCAAACATTTTTTAAATTCGCTCAATTGTTAGGATCAATAGTGATGAAATCTCTTTAAGAAACTTAATAAATTTTATGAGAGGAAAACAACGAACGATCATACAATAAAACTACAGGGTGCAAACTTTGACCGATTTAAATCGGTTCGATGACAGAGTGAGGCAAGCTAACTTTTAAAAATGTATGAATGCAGTTTTTTGGTTATTTTCAAAAATAAAGGGATGTTTTCTTTCGAGTTAAATTTTTATAATAACTAACGTGTAACATACGTTACTAAATTAACTAAAATCGCGGGTTACTTATGTGAATATACTGAGATAAGCTCTACTAGTTTCGGACCATAGAGGGGTTCTTCCTCATGAGCAGCGTGCGCGGTCGCGGCGATGTCGCGCAGCTCACTCGTGATATTCACGTGAGTAACCCGCGATGTTAGATAAAAATAAAATTCTTGCGCAAAACTTTTATTTGCGCAAACAAGTGTTATTTTAATATTATGATTTCTTAAATAAAAATAGAGATATTTTCCTCACCAGTAGACCAGTAAGTGTCTCCAGGGTTGGTAGGATGCCACCCGGAGTGCGGTATGATGACCTTGTTGACGATGACCTGGGCCGCGTCATCTATGATGGACTGCTTCAGATCCTCACATGATGACATGTTCCATATCACTCCTGTTACTAGTTCTTTTACCTGTTGAGAATATTATTACTTTAGTTATCGAATCACTAACCAAATTTTAATAATGTGGAACCAATTTTGTTCCAAAGATCATTTCCTTTTGTCATTTGCACGTTGTAAACCTTGAAAGCTGTTTGTAAGAAATGCCAATGACAATGTCATCGACTTACTGCCCAAAATGCAAATATAAGGGGAGACAGTACGTTTGAATCCCATTTGTGATTGCATTTTTTATTGATTGTATTCCGAGCTTCTGGCCGCTGCCTCGCTCTGGTGGTAAGCGATGATTTGTCCAACAATAGAACACATCTCTCTATGAGCAACCTATTCATATCACTTTTGAAAACTTATTCTTAAGAAACATTACCTCCATATCAGTAGCCCGGCACAGTAGCGCCATGAGTGCGGGAATCCCGCCGGCGTCCCGTATGGCTCGCTTGTTCTCGTCGTTCTGTCGGCCGTACGACAAGTTGCGGAGCGCGCCGCATGCGTTGCGACACACTTCCGGGTTCTCGTGCGATACTAGCCGCACTAGTGGGGGAATACCGCCTGGAATATAAGAAATTGGTTTGTTTATTGTAATCTAAACCTTATTACTTGACATTTAACTTTAAAATCGATTAATATTGTTAGTTTGAGGTCGACATGGAAGATATTGAGCCCTATGTTCAAGAGACGTCTAGTGGCTGATATGATGATGGTGATGGTAATGTTGGCATCTGTTTTTGTAGGTCTCTATCATCACAGTGGTATTTTATTCTTCGCTAATGGACGATCAAGTCAAACCTATCGATTACATGACTAAACCGAAATATTTCGTATTTATTTTTAATTTCTTGTTGAATCTATTTGGCAATAGGCTCACCCCCTTTTACGTGCGACTCATAATATAAAAATGAAACGTGGGTTGTACAGTGGCATTAAGTGCCGTAGAGAATGTGCACCTCTGCCTACCTCTCCGGGGATAAAAAGCGTGATGTTATGACCTATTTGGCTCCTGATTTCAATAAAACTGATTCTTATAAATGGAAAACTTCGTTTTCAATTTGAAACTTTTATTTGTAATATAAAATTACAGCAATTGCGGAGTAATCCACAAACAATAATATTTGCAAAACCATAAACACTCATGACAACTTACCTAAACTCCTTGTCTTCTGTTTATTAGGGTCGTCCATATAAGTGAGGTGCTGTAGATAGGCGGCCGCGTTGGCCTTCACCACGTCAGATGGAGAGTTGAGGAAACCGATTACTTCAGGCAGATTGGGGTCCCTCCATTGTAGACCTCCTGTTTCTTCGCGACCACCTACGCTGCCGTGTACTGGGGGGAAATAAGAAGATTGTTTGTATTTATTTAAAAATTAGTATGTATTCAGAGAATCGAAAATTTTTGACATAAAATTTAAAAAAAATTATGGGTTCAGCTAAGACAGAATTCAGATTTAAAATTTACTTTTGTAATAACTATCGTGAGACATACTAAATTAACTAAAATCGCGGGTTACTCACGTGAATATACTGAGAAAAGCTCTACTAGTTTCGAACCACAAAGGGGTTCTTCCTCATGAGCAGCGTGCGCGGTGGGGGCGACGTCGCGCAGCTCACTGAGCTAGTAGAGCTTTTCTCAGTATATTCACGTGAGTAACCCGCGATCTTAGTCAATTTACTTTTGATTTCGGTCTACTTTATAATATCTTTCATTCTGCTAGTATCAACTATCTGGTTGTCTAGGAATAGATTGCTTATGGGACGACGTGCTCTATCGTAGACTGCATCATCGCTTACCATCAGGCGAGATAGTGGTCAAACGTCGGCCCATCAAATATAAGTATAAAGCAACCAATTTGAACTATGTATATTGTACGTGCAAAACTAGGTTTTGCATTAAGACAAATCGAACAACACAATAGATTTTTTTCATTTTTTCGAATAGCCAATACATTGAACCATAATTAATTTTCTAGAAACTATGAGTAAATTCAATAAGTAATCATATAAGAATCTTACCTAGTGCCATATTTGCCATCTGTTTCTGTAACTCCTCATCGTCTCCATACATCGACTGTCCCCCGGCGCTGCCCAGGCTTAGACCATTCTGTGAATCCTGGAGACAACAACCAACCACGTTATTTCTTACTTATTTGCCAGCGCTCATAGAGTCTCATATAACATTACTCACACAGGATAGCACAATGTCAGCGCTGTTTTACGATGGTTTGGTTTTATGTAAGACCATGATATCACTTCGGTCGAGTGGACCTATTCATGGCTCACCCATAGTATAAAACAAAGTCGTTTTCTCTGTCCCTATGTCCCTTTGTATGCTTAAATCTTTGAAACTAAGCAACGGATTTGATGCCGTTTTTTTTAATAGATAGAGTGATTCAAGAGGAAGGTTTATATGTATAATACATGCATATTGCACTCGTGCGAAGCCGGGGCGGGTCGCTAGTATTAATATATAATATATAATGTACCTTAAACGGCGGAGGTTGATGCGGAGGTTCATACGCCGTGGGATAGTGTTGGTATCCGTACGCGTCGGGCGCGTACTCCCCGCGCGGTGACGTCACGCAGTAGTGCCGACCCAACTGCTCTAGAGAAGCCGAGTCGTACCTAGTAGATGCACACGAAAAAATTGTACTAGTAGAAATGTTATCCTTAACTTAAGACTACTAGTTAACAGGGTGTAATAATAAAAAAAAAACAACTTTCAATAAATCTTTGTGGAATGTAATATAATATTTTTTTTTCACCTCTGTTTCGTGTATGCTTTTATAACCACAATTATAACAATGTGTAGATGTCACAGAGTTTTTCCGTGTGAGAATCGAAACTGCCGGATAAGGAAGGAAAGAGTTTTTCCAAATCTTCACTAGAAGTTAAACAGAATTCAAAAATAAAAATTCACTTTTACTGCTAACAATATCAAAAATTGTATTCCATTGAAAACACGTCTAAATTCTAAGAAAGTCGCACACAAACTGAAAAACTGAATAATGATTGTTATAAAGAATAACACAATATAAAGGCTAATCAATGCACAGCTGAGTGACTGTGAATAATCACTAAGCTTACATCACTAAAATAGATATTTACTATTTTATCTGTGACGCATCTATTGTTGAACATACTTTCTCTGCAAAATACAATAAAAACGATTGCATTGTCATATCTGAAGATCATTCACGTTTCATATCAACTCTGTAGTACAATAGCAATGGTGTCGAACATTAAATTGAACTTTGCGCTGTCACTTTTATTTGCGCTTAAATCGGTGGATCGAGGCGCAGTTTGCGCAAAACAGTATCAGCAGCTGTAGCCAAATGCCATTTAGCGCTTGTCTACATGTACCTAGAATAGAAAACCAAATTATATGGAATTGACGTAAATTTTGACACTTGTCAGTGTCATCCCCATACATATTGATTTCTACTCTCTCTGTAGACGAGCGCCAAAGTGGCGTTTGGCTAAAGGCGCAGGCTATTTAAAAATCTCTGACTCTGCCTAGATCTATATTCTTCGAAACATTGTGACTTACCTTTGTTGTAGGTGTAGATTGTGTTGTGGCAGAGCACCTGGTGACGCGCTCCGGGGCGAAGCGCTACCACCTCCTTCCACGTACTCCTGTAGATTGAAAACTTTGTTAAGTATTTATACTTGATCAGAATGCTAGGAGGCGCCAGGCCTTATTGTTTCGATGATTGTAATTATTTACTGTAGATCCTGCCTTAAAGGATTTCAAGTTGTTTGAGCGTTGAAGGCAGATCGTCTCAGAAAAATATATGGCTCCGGATCATAAGATTCTGGGTTGGTTAAAAAGTAGACCTTTGCCAATCTCGTTTATACTCCAAAAAGGACTTAAATCTATGATGTTGTACTTGTTCGAATCAGATTCAATTTTGTCATTATTTTACCAATTTTCAACTCTATCAACAAAAAAATTAAGTACAAACCTGTCCCATATACTGCGGGACTTGCGTGGTCTCCACCATGTATGCCGTCTGTGGTTGATAGGCTGCGGTGCCGTAATGGCCGTATGTACCATAGTGGCCGGCACCACCAGCGCCTGCATAGCTGCCTCCTCCACTAACTGAGACTGAGTCCATCACCTAGAGAGAAAAAAAATGGAGATGATTTTTGAGTATCGTGAAGAATATGTGTTCTGTTTGATCTAACTCCTTCTGTCTTTTTGATTCTGTTAAAGTTTATTTTGATTTGTTGGTTTAGATTAACCGCACAAGTCTACAGCCGCTTTAAGGTTTAACCTTCATTAAACTGTCAAACACCAAGCGGTCACCGGTGACCGCAACCTATTGTTCTATAATTGTGTCTACAAAACCGGTACTCGACGAGTTAAACAAAAGTATCTATATGCTATGACAATTAAGGTGGAAAACAACTTACATGGGGATACTTCTGTGAGGGAGCCATGGTGAGATGTCCCATGTGATTATAGTGCGCCGCGGGCGAAGACACGTACTGTCCATAGTCAGGTTCTACTCCAGCACCAACTACTGGATACTCACCAGCCTGAGGAAAAAATACCCATTACATTACTGGACATTACTGTTTTATCATCACCATTATCATATCAGCTATAAGATGTCTACTGCTAAACATAGGCCACCCCTATGGCTTCCAGATCTGCCGGCTAGAAGAGACCTGCATACAGTATTATTGTTTGTTCTCAGGATAAAATTTTCATTTCTAAATTGGAGTTCGAAGCAAGTATTACTTTATATGGAAACAAATCCATGAAATTTTCTTTCCAGTGCGTCCATCTGATAAGGAAGTCGTAGAAAAATTGAAGATCTTTTTCGGTTACCCAAAATTTAACTAATATTTAATTTCGCTTTGGGACCTAAGGACCCAAGCCAACCTCAACACGAAAGATAAATTAAGAACATCACAAAAAGAAACTAAAGTCGCGTATTAATAATACAGCGCTAAAAACACAAAGATTCAGAGACAAAGAATTTAAGTTTTCACCTAAGCTTAAGATAAAACAAAAATAGATAGACGCGACCAGCTAAGAAAGAATTTTACATCTACCTAACCTATGCCACATAGCTAACTATGTACCTAAGTTTCGACCTTTTTTATATTGATTACGCAAGAACCAGGGACCGCAAGTTTCTCGCTAAAAATTGGACCAATTACGTTGTAATCTTATTATCTTCAAGATGATCTCATTATATTGGGTTTAAAGGTTAAGATGGTTCTTCCGAGAACGGAGTCTGATATAAATAAAACTATTTACTGGCAGTGTGAACTCAACGTACGGTTCGTTCAAAGTATAGTTTAGATCTACGTGGCTGTTTTTCTCTGAATAGGTGGGTGAGGTGTATGTACAATTAGTGTTACGTCATTTATTTATGTTAAACCTGAGATTATTTGGTACCAAACAAAACAGTTCGTTTTATAGTTTTAGAAACATAACCGTATCAAAATGCAGACAGTTTAAGCTTTTGACTGCCGACAGAAATCTGTTGGAGACAAATTCTCTGCTAGCGCCGGTCAGCAGTGACCGAGGTGGCAGCTGATTGTAAAAAATCCATGCTGGATCTGTAATTCTGTATTCGTTCCCAAAAACTATGGAACATTGATTAACTAAAAATCGCGGGTTACTCACGTGAATATACTGAAAAAGCTCTACTAGTTTCGAAACACAAACTGCTCATGAGAAAGAACCCCTCTGTGGTTCACGGCACGATAGTTATTATAAAAATATGGAACATTGGGTTTGATGCGATTTTTATCAATGAATAGGTAGACCTTATTAGAGAATGTAAAAGTTACAATAGTGCTGTGTATGTAGTAGTAGGGAAAAACAGTCTGACGCCGCAAATGTTGGCGATAAACTCAAGTTTTAAAGATTCGTGCATGTTTCCGCTAGTGAAGCTTCGGCTAGCGAGGGTGACAAAACGCAGATGTGGAAGCCATAGTAGTAGAAAGCTGGTGATAAATAAATAAGCAATGTAGATGAAGAATCCGACCGTACCATATAACTGACCTGCATAGCAAGGTGGTGCTGGTGGGCGAGCGCTGCAGACAGCTCAGCGTCCTCGGTGGAGGCGTCCGACCGCGACACCGGGCTGTGTTGCGGACCATACGCGTTCTCCACGGGGCCGTTGCTGTAACAAATAGAGGGTTGTGTTAGAGAAGCTGGATCAGATATTGCGAGGATTTTTAATCTTCTTGTTATGTAAATAAAGTTGTAGATCTAACTATAATCTGTATGTGTCCATCTTTAAAGCATTTATAGATAGAAAACAATAAAATCATGTAGTCAATCGATCGATAGTTTATAAATAAATATCATACATTACTTCTATTTTGTGTTCAATAAAATTGGAACCTTAACTAACCTGTGTGCAAGGAATTTGGACGTTGCAGTCTCATTGGAAGACTGATAAATACAAAAACGTCTTCTATCATAATGACTATGATGAGACCAGAAACGGATAACCAACATCAAAATATCACAGGTAATCAAACAATCGAGGAACACAAGTTTAATCTCAGCACTTGATGCCACGAAAACCACAGCAGAACACTAGAGACACTTCCAAAATGACAAACGCACTTGTAGACTTGAAGTTATTTCAAAAACAATCTAATTTAATTTGTCTATTTTATCCTATATAATATTCAGATATTTTAATGAATTAAAACATGACGTTCTGTTTCAGCACTTTATTGAATGCAAGGTTTCTATACACTGAGCGTCTAATATTCTACAAATAGTCTTTAATAGATTTCAATATAGTTCATTCTATGTGCTATTGAGCTATGTAATGTCGATAGTTATCGAAGAATGGAAGAAATGTGACAATATTATTCATGTCTATTTAAGTATTTCATAGCATTAGGAAATATTTTGCTAGAAATTATAATTGCATTACGATAGCTAGTGTAATGTATTACCAAATTGCTAAATGTCCGTTTTTCCTAGGAATCCTAGGATCAACGAAGACCTAGCTGTAAATATATTTGGAAATAATTGTGTAGAACTGTAATTAAACTACGAAACTTGTTACCTAACTAGACGGTACGTTTTACCAGTTACACTCATAGCCAAATTACAAGATAATGTTACTTAACAATGATGGACAAGATAATTAATTGTAACTTGTTGGCAAAAAAGCGAATAGTGTCAATAATAATTACACGACAAAATTTGTATGTTTGTTGGTTTGTTACTCCTTCACGCAAAAACTGCTGAAAGGATCGGGATGAGATTTGGAACAGGGGTACATTATGGTCTTGAACAACACATAGGCTACTTTTTATTCCACGAGAATGCGAGCGAACCCGCGAACAGAAGCTAGATTTTAATTTTTATGAAAAAGAATCTTGTTTTTCTGAGAAAATCACGCATATCTTTTTGACAATCATCAATCTTGAATCCCAAATCTTTACAATTTTGTAACAACCATTGTAGTTACTCTGAAACCACGTGAGATTTATTAACGATGACTTTTATTGATGTTTACTCAATCAAGCTGATTGCCTTACTTCGGAATTCATGATCATGAATCATTCATCATCAAATTTGTTCCGACAGAACAATTGGAAGTCAGCATTATTTTTACAACTGTCTACTTGTCATTATTGTTTTTGTAATTAACGATAAATTAATTACTTACAGATTTAAATCTCTAGTTTTTGCAATGCCAATAAAATCGCCACTAAAAAAACAAGCCCGATTGGATGGATGTCGAAAATAAAGAAACTCTTTATGACCGATTTCTGTACCATATCGTGTTTCCAACTAAACTAAAACGCATTTTCAAAACGAACTCAAAAATACATAAGTAAAACACTTTCATTTACTAAATTAACTAAAAATCGAAGGGATTATGTAGTATGTCTCTCGATAGTTATTATAAAAACTACTTTATTTAATTTACAATTAAAATGACGAAATTATATAGTTAAATATCATACAACGAACACAGAAAGCTACTAAAGTAAGCAACACCTATTCGCAACTTACATTTGAAGATAAGACACGCTATTCATACCTAGATCAAGTTGATGTATTTTATATGTCACGAATGAATAGGGAGATATGAAGAGAATACGGTAGAAGTGTATCGTCGTGAACTCAAAGGAAAATGGTATTTATTGTATTCGTGTATTGTCCGGTTAGATATAAGATTTTAAATAACTTAAAAGCCTATTACTGCATAACTTACATGAATTTACACAATTACAACTTTATGGCTAGAAAATATTTATATTATTTGGTACTTCAATTTGTTACCTAACGGTAAAAAAGATACAATTCTTAAACCATCGGCGGTCTTCTTCCATACAGAAGACGTTCTCTGTTGTACAAAGACTTTCCATTACTTTTGCACCCATCAACAGCCTGTGACAATCCACTGGTGGAAAATGATCCTCTTCCACATTTTTTATGGGATGAAAAATCGTCTTTGAATTACTTCTACCGCCTGGGTGAGGCGTGAGGCAGTGTCAGACTCTTATTGACTAAAAATCATCCCATTCCTACTCCTGCACTACGCGCCGGAGCCCCTGTAAACTTTTACGTTATCCGCGGCTCAATCGGCATCAGCCCTATTGGGCCCAATCCGTAGTGGTCTGATAGCTCTTTGAGGCGTGCGCCGAACGCGACACCTCAGATCCTCCTCCACATAAGAGGGTTTGCCATATCTTTTAACAATATTGTAAAAAAATTGAACTTAAATATTATATTTTAGATTGACTAGTGTCAAGTATCTTGCAGACAGACATCGAAAGAATAAAAATAAAATGCTGGTTCCGAAAGCTCCCAACTAAGTGATTATCCTAAAACCAAGGATACACTTTTTTTTTAAGGGGGGAAAATCATCGTATGACTGCTCCCGCCTGGGTGAGGCGGGAGGGAGTGTCAGACTCTTACTGACTAAAAACCACCCCGTCCCTTCTCCTGCATGTCGAGCCGGAGCCCCGGTTACCCGTTAGGTTCTCCGCGACCAAGGATACACTAGGGGACAAATCTCCCACAACATGTATCGGCGACATGTCCAGCGAAGTCGGCCGAGGTCGCCTGACATATACGATGATAAAGCGCTACTTATGTCCACACGATGTTGCCATACGATGACCAAAGCACGACAACGTCGCGCTACTAAGTCCAACATATTTATGTCCCTTTGTGTAGCCTTGGCTTAAACAAACACACTAAACTCATCTAGCTAAGCCGCTCACATTCAAAATTACCAAAATATTAGTTAGTAAGCACAAGATTACGAAACACTAGTATGATAAATCAATAATCTGACCCCAAGTATCTCAGTACAAATCTATTGTTAAACAGTTAAACATTGGAATTACGAAAACCCAGAGCTTAGTCGGTTAGTCAGATTTCTGCGACCTTTTGTGATCTACCGACTAAATACCTCGCTATTTAAACAATAACTTTGTTTGTGTATTCAATAGAAGTAATATGGTTTCTATATAAAACAATATAGAGTACAAAATGTGTTTCTAACCGCTCAACTCGGAAACCGCTGGAACGATATGGATAATTTATTTTGTTTGTGTGTTATACTCAGGAAAAAGTAATAAGAAGACTGACACAAACTGATAAGCTATAATAAGTATTGCAAATGATACAATAATCTATAAATTATAGGAATTGTTAAAAAATACATTAGGGAATCACAATACAGAATACATACTAGCAAAGTACAATAATTACAAATTACAAGGACTTTCCAACGTAATAATAATTAATTAATCTCGTTAAAATTACGGCCAGATATCCCTTCAGAGAATTAGATGATATTATCTTAAGACGAGACGGGAGAGCAAAACATCAAACGACAAATCTCGTATGTCTGAAATGTTAGTCGGTTTATTCCGAGTACTTATATCTATGTACTTAAGTTACGACCTTATATATGATATATGTATAGTTTAATATGGCTTATTTACTTGCTGAAGGTATCAAGGTGAAAGTAATAAATTACCACCTTTATTTTGTCTAACAATGCAGGTTACTCTTAAAACACATTAATAAAAGTTTTCTAAGCGTCAAACGCAAGTAAATGTTAAATAAAAATCGACTTTTCAAAAGTTGTAAAAATATGGTAATTCACAGAATATGATCAGCGTCTGAACGTCTGGGGTCTGTCGTTGGAATCGGTGTAGACTATAAATCATTATCGATTTCTAATAAAGACGTAAAAAATCTAAATTGTAGACGAATACAGAAAATCGAGATATTGCTAAAGCTGGCTGATTCCACAATAAACTTCTTGGTAAAGTCTGATAGATAGTATTCATATTTCCCCGTATATCTGCAGTATTCATAAACAAACGCTATTTTCCATTACGAGCTTAACAAATTGCAATTACCAACATCCGTCCTCTGTAATATAGATTCTTTAATTTAAAATAATACAATTAATTAACACGAGCGAGGCGGGTTCCACGTAACATTTTACCGAATTAATAGGACGCTATATAAAATTTATGGAAAATTTACATCACTAAATGCTTCAATTAAGGTGTCCATCAATTTTGTGACGTCACTTGCCGGTATAGGAAATCGTTCATTGATACAGTCGCTCCATGCAGTTGGATATTCATTGATTTAAAAATATAACAATCAATAAACACACATTGTTGACGGGCAGACGTAAAAGATCAGTGACCCGAGAGTAAATTGAATTTGTACGCGTATAAAATACTGCACCAGCCTGTATGTACTTGGGCAGCTCTGATTTAATTAAGATTGTGGCAGAAATTGTGATGGCCGATTAGATGTGGAAAACACTGATAAGGAGCAACAATTTCACTCAAAATCCTTTTGAGTGAGTTGAGTTTTCTTACTGACAGACAATCAACTTTTCTTAAAAACCCGACTAGTTTTCTAATAAGATTTTAAACAATTCAACATTCATTTTCTAAAAAGCAATGACTATACGAGTGTTTTTACAATCTAAAAGATCAACAATCTAGAGTTTACACGAAGAAATTGCGTCCAAATCAACATTTACACTCCGCTTGAAATTCGTCCTTTTCAAAGGTCCGACAGAAGCCCCGTGTCTCTAAGCAACGGCGCTGATTACGTAACAATATATCGAAGACATTTAACAAACAGCATGCTTCAATACATTTA